AAAACGGTTAGTGAGACTAAATACAAGGCTTATGAGAATTTCTATAAGAAGTTAGAATCTAAAGAAGAAGAGCAATATATATATAAGCTTGCTAAGATTAGAGAAAGGAAGAATAGGGATTTGGATATGTATTAGGTATATTGAAAGCGAAGATCAAAGAGTTCTAGTAACCAACAGGAAAATAAAAGAGAGGTGGAGGAGTTACTTTCATAAATTGTTTAATGATAACCAAACAAATGAGCAACATAGAGAATTTGACCATACAATGAATGATAGAAACTATAGATATTGTCAAAAAAATTAGGATTAGTGAGGTTAAATATGCTCTAAAGAAAATAAAAAGTGAAAGAGTCGTAAGACATGACGGTTTCCTTTTCCAAGTTTGTAAATATCATTGAAATATAAGCTCAGGATGATTAACTAAATTATTTAATAAGATTATCGAGACAAAAAGGATGCCGGATGAGTGAAGGATTAGTACTTTGATACCGTTAAACAAAAATAAAGGAGATATACAAAATTGTTCAGATTATCGTGGTATAAAATCCACGAGTCATGTTATGAAACTTTGAGAGAAGATAATTGAGCAAAGACTAATTATGGAACTTATACATATTTTGAGATGATTAATGGAGAGATATAGGGAGAAGAGAAATGATCTACATATGGTTTTATAGATCTAGAAAAAACTTATGATAGAATGCCTAGAGAGGTAATATGATGAGTTTTAAAAAAGAAACATGTATCTACTGTATACATTAATGTGATTAAAAATATGTATGATAGAGTAATAATTAGAGTAATAGCTAATGAAGAAAAGAAGTCATTTTCTATTATCATAGGTTTATACCAAGGGTCAGTCTTAAGTCTTTATCTTTTTGCATTGGTTATTGACCAACTTACTAGGCAGATTAAGGATGGAATGTCATGGTGCATGTTATTTGCGGATGATATAGCGGTAGTTGACGAAATTAGATGGATAATTTCTAAAATAGAAAGGTGGAGACAAGCTCTTGAATCTAAAAGTTTTAGAATTAATAGAAAAAAAGCAGAATATCTAAAGTACATTTTTAGTAAAACTAATAAAAAGAAGAGCTTATAGTATATATGATGGTCAAGAAATATCTGAAAGTAATCATTTTTGCTATTTAAGATCAATCATTCAGCATGATGGTGAGATTGATAATGATGTTGTCCATCAAATCAAATCGGGATTGCTGAAATGGAGAAGTGCTTCCGGAGTCTTATGAAATCGTAGAATAATAATGAAACTAACGGTTATAAGACCAGCAATGCGTTATGGATCAGAGTGCTGGGCAATTAAAAAAGTAACATGTGTAAAAAAACGAGTGTAGCAGAAATGAGCATGTTGTGTTGGTCTTGTGGGTATACACTAGAAGATAGGATAAAAATAAGTTCATCCGTAGTAAATTAGAAGTTGCTCTATTGAGGATAAAATGAGAGAAAATCGACTATGATGGTTTGGTCATGTATAACGAAGACCTCTTAGTACACCGGTTAGGAAAAGTAATAGTATATAGTTAATGTGATTAGGAGATCTAGGGTTAGAGCTAAAAGAATTTGGTTAAAAACAACTAAGAAGGACATGATTATGATTAACTTCATGGAGGAGATGACCTATAATAGAATGAAATGGAAGAATATGATTCATGTACATTTAGGATAAAGGCTTTGATGATAATGTTGTTGTTGTTGTAGTTGAAACAAATGCACCTTGAAACGTCTGCCATATCTATAAAAAAGCAGATTGCGAGGAAGCTTATTTGGGCAAGTCTTTATTTGTATAGTATCATGAGCAAGTCTTCCTAGTTATAAACCATGTTATTGATCTGAAGATTAAAAACATTAAGCTGCATTTTTTATTTTCTTTTAAGTTAGACCGAGTTTGTTTCAGTGAGAGTATGTCACAAACTTGAAGATCGCAAGCATTGATGTCTGACTTTCTGTTAGTTGTCATTTTTCATTAGCTAAGAGAAAAGTCTTATTTTTTAGAAACTTTTCAAATTTTGACAGGCTTGTGCTTTGTACAACAATTGGTGGCCGATGTTATCAGGTAAACATTAGATCAATGAAGCTGCATTTGGCTTTCCGGCGTGCTGTTTTACGAACATGCTAATGTTTTACACTGTTTCTCTTTCTTCAGCGTTAATGTATGTGCTGGTGCCTATGCCCTGTTTGTTCTTTGGAGGTGGGTCCACTCAGTTCCTGACCAGCAATGAGGGTGGAGCGTAAGTGCATTTTATTTCAAGTATGTTACTGATTTAAAATTCTTTGATATATGTCCATCTTTAGTTCCCTTGCACATGAAGATTGTAATACCATGTTTAGTAGTTATATTTCAAAGAAAAAAGGAGAAAAAGATTAATTAAGTTCACCCATCAGCATTTATTTATTTTTTTCCATCAGATGTAAAATAGACCATTCTTTCGAAACAAGTGCGAAATACAAAATCATTTATGATTTGGAAAATTTATTAGAAAACTGCCAATCACTAAATCGATCAAGACCGGGTTGAATACAAACCCAATGTATAGGGTGTGTTTGGATAGGAGTAGTTGAAGTTCCGTTTTTTTTCAATCATATCCGAATTTCAATATATTTGTTTGGTTGAATGTTGTTGCAAATCTAAAAAAAAATGTTGTAAGGGCAAAATAACCTAAAATAAGGGGATTGTTGCTGCTTACAAATTGAGGAGCGTGTTCCAACAGTAGGAACTATATGTTGTTAAAGCATTTGTAATTGCCCGTATAAGTCCTTTTAGAGTTTTCTATAGGGCTATGTAGAAAGGGAAACTTATTTTGGCAGAACTGTACCAGTGGGTAGATGTAAGATATTGACTATTTCAAACTATTTTGACGACAATATGGGCAAGTCCTGCCTCTTCACCATTTTCTCCATGTGGAGGTTTTAATTATGTCGCGATTCATCGATATAGGCTCGAGCCTTAGACACACAGATTAATTTACACAGTGATAATGAAGTTCTCTCTACCTCATGGAGAACTTCCTGCCCATAGCGTAATTTCTTCCTCCTTTCATATGAGTTCATAATGTAAGACTAGTCCCTCGTCTCCCAAAAAAAAAACAAAAGCAAAAAGCATTCCTGATGGAGACTGGATGGATACCTGTTGTAAGGCTGATGGGGGCCCGTCACTTCAATATCTCAAGGGCAACGACTACTGGAAGTTTCTGCGATGGCTTCAGTTTCTTAACAAATTGACAAAAATTCACTCAAAAGACATACTCTACAATACCAAAGCAAGAATAATACTTGTCTTGAGCATTTCTAATAGTTTCTGTTACAATTTAACAGTTGGATAAATGCTGCTAAATTCCTAACTGGTGCATCCACTGTGGGGAGCATAGCCATTCCTGTGATCCTCAGACACGCCCACTTGATCGAGACTGGAGCAATGTTCATAGAGTTTACGTCCTTCTTCATTTTGGTCGTCACCGTTCTGTGTTTCCACAGAGTTAGTCTCGACGAAGATTGGTAAGACTATGTAGCTTTTATCTCCAAGGGAGAAGAACTGATCGTAGGATGAGAAAAGGAGACGACCTAGTCCATGTGTTGTACTGTACATATACTCTCATGTAACTTCGCTGCGCTCATATGAAGAAAGATGGGGAAAAAAAAATCTTATACGTCTTACCCTGTAATAATTGGTTTGAGAAATATGAAGCTGTTCATAGGCTGCATACTGTTTCATAATTGGCCTGAGTTTGGATTTCATAAATTTAGTTGAGGTTAGAGTCTGATCTTGATGTTCTGTTTCTGGTGCCAAACTTCTGACTGAATGAGAAGGAAAGACCACATTTCCCCCTTCTTTTCCTTTATGTTATTGTCACTGATTTTGTCTTTGTTTATATCATTGACTGGTAGTTGATGCCTGACGATCTTCCTTTAATTTGGGATAGCATAAAACTTTTCTGTAATATTCAACTGGCGACAATTCAAGCTTAGCTGTACTATGGGGCTAATCCATCATCGTAATCTACCCTACAACACTGATTTTTCTTTTTCTTTATGGGTTAATTTCACAAAACCCCCCTAACTTCGGGGGTGTTGTTATCTCACATAACACCCCCAACACCCCACACACAAAAAAAAAAAAAAAACGAAATCTTCGGGGTGTCTCACGAGACCTAAAAATTGAACTTTTCTCATAGGACCTTCCCCAACACCCCCACCCCCAAAAAAACCCTCCTCCCATGCGTGCGCACAAAAAAAGGAAAAAACATGAAATTTACAAATAACTAAAATTTTCTTAAGGTAAAAAAAAAACTCAAATTTTAGGGGAGAGTGTATGTTGCTTGTAAATGACGAATGATAAAGTTTAGGGTTTTTTTCACTCAAAAACATTCTAGTTATTTACAAATTACAGGTAGGGGGATTGGGTGAGATAAGGTAAAGATTATGTGGGTTTCTTGAGACACCCATAGTTTAGAAGGTTTAAGGTAAAGATTATGGGGGTTTCTTGAGACACACTTAGTTTAGAAGGTTTATGCGAGATAAATAAAATTTACGAGGATTATGTGCAACACCCCACAACGTTTTGGGAGGAGGGGGTGTTACTTGAAATTGACCCTTTCTTTATCATGCAGCCATATAAAAAAAATATGTTATATGCCAGTAAGTCCCTTATTCATGTAAATATGTAATAATATGGAAAACACTAAGGAAAAAAAATAAAATACTCGTTTCATCTCATCAAAAACAAATTCAAACCTACTATTTAAGGAATTTGCCATCATGAAAACCTCTTCTTTCCTCAATTCTCAAGCATTTCATAAAAAACTCTTTTTTCTCAATTCCCACGCATTTCGTTTCCAAAAATAAAATTTTGATTTAAATCCCAAAAAAAAAAAAAAAAAAAAAACCACGCGTCTCATACACTGTTTTGGGTTGAGAGGAATTCATGTGTCTACACTCAGCGTTGATGTTGAGGTGCGCTTTACGTGCGTCCAATCGTTGGTCCATAAAATTCCAACGTTATCAAGACCCAAATTGTCCTTTTTCCTTCAATTCTTGTTACTGATATTCCATGATAAGTGCAAACATGAAATTCACTAGAAAGTCCAGCGGAAAAAAGGACCAGAAAGCCATTTTTTAACGATCTTGACTCCCTTCTTTTTTAAGGGCTAGCCGTTTGGTTTGCCCGAAATAAATGGAAACTGGGTGAAAAGCTAGGAAATCCTATGATGTTACTTGTTTCACACACATGTGACACACAAAACCGTGGAGAAACTATCACAATTCTAAGAAAATCCAATTCCTAATTTTTAGAAAGGAATTGGCCAGGAAGGTGACACAATTCTATTAATAACCGGGCAGCCCGGTAGATCACATAGAAAAGTCATGTTGCTCCCCCGGAGTATGAGTTCAGTTCTCATGTGCGCCAAATGTGCAGTAGTTTTGATTGTTAGTATTATTGTTATGTGCGCCAAAGATGTATTTTCCTTTAAAAAATCCTATTAATTATCAGGCCACATTGCTTTCCCTCAAACTCTCTGTCATTCCCTCCTCCTCAGATTTCTTATTCTTTGAGTTTGAAACAAACTAGAGATCAGTTTTCTCACACGCTCTCCTTTTCCAATCATCAATTTCAAGCTGAAACAAACAACGAATTAGCATTTCTAAGAAATGCGTGGAAAGCAATGGAATTGATTTCTTGCACGAAATCATGTTTTCTATATTTTTAGGAAATGCGCCATTAGAGGAATTATTTATCTCACTATAACAAGACCACTAAAAACTTTTTTTTTTGGGTGGGGGGTGGGGGATGTCTCGTTCATATTATTATTATTATTATTTTGATGACAAGGGAAACTTGGTCACTCCAGCTCAGTTTTAACTCCTTCGGAGTTCCGCCAGCGGTCCTGGTTCGATTCTCCTTGTTCCCTTCACACCTACAAGGAGCTACCCTTAATACAAGGGGCTCATCCCCACGGGCAGAGCGCGGGCGAGCAGCGTGGGGACCACTGGGACGCGAACTGGTGAGCATACAACGGGCTGAGCTGGATTTGGTGACCAATAAAACCCCGGGTTTCCGTCCCCACCCTTAAACCAAGGGAAACCAGGTGAATGCGGCTACGAGGATTCGAACTCCTGACCAACAACGGGCAATAGCCTGGAGAGATACACTCCCCCATGGAGAGCTGCTGACCATGAGTCCCACCCGCGGGTGGTTGTCTCGTTCATATTATTATAAGAATAGATAAGCATACTACATACTATGTTCATAGATATATATACACGAAAGTCACAAATATGTAAACTAAGCTTTAATAAGTCTTGCTGAGTTCTTGATGATTTCTATTGGAACATTGACTCTTCTGTTGAAGATTTCTTAGTTTCTGTATTTTTAATTTTATTTTTGGGCTAAAATTTTCAAATTCCTCGAGAAATTGGCACATTTTTAGATTACTCTCAAGAAAGTCTAGACATGTCACTTAACCCTCGAAATCTTTCCAGATCACAAAACACCGGATGTTATCTTTAAAATATTCACAAAAATGTAAACGTTATTGAGATTAAGCGGCATTTCCAAACTTTTTGCATCTAAATACAGGCCAAACTTCTCGAGGGTCTCGTGAAATCTACCCCTTACTTTTTTTTCTTATTAATTTTTTTTTCTTATTATGATAATAAAAAAAAGGAAACTGATCGTGTTCAGTCCCAATCCTGCAGCAGTGAGTCCCAGTCAATTTCTCCGCCTTCTGCCTCCTCCTCAGACCTATGAATGGCGTCATTACCGGAGTGCGAGCCGTCATTGGAGCTCCTGCCTTCGGCTGGCGGCGGAGTCACGGTGGAGGAACCGGAGTGCGAGCCGTCATTGGAGCTCCTGCCTTCGGCTGGCGGCGGAGTCACGGTGGAGGAGGAAGCAGCCTCGGTGGTGACCGGAGGACGACGATCAAAGGACCGGAGGGTGCCTAGATACACTCGACATAAACTGAACTCACTGTGTAGCTGCATGAAATCATGGCAACCATAACATTAATAAGCAATATACACAATTTATAATGAAGTATTACTTTTTGCAGGTTGTGCTACAATTAGTTCATTACCTTGCTCGTGCAGCAGTGAGTAGAGTCACAAAATACAAAAAAAAAAGTATCACATTATACAATATTGAAAATAGGCTTGTTAAAATCTCTCTCACAATTATACCAGAACTCTAAAGTTATGATGATAATTGAGGGTTATATTTTGATATTCCAACATGGTTCGGGTAGGTTAAGCCCTTTTTTATGAGCCGAAACATGGACTCGCACAGCAGTGTGAATTTTTAAAAAATTCGCTTTAAATTCGTGGTTAGTGGGATTCGAAACATGGGTTGCTCTGATATCGTGTTACAGTTCTCTAATCATTACACCAAAACTCTAAAGTTGTGGTGAGGGCCAATGATTATAGTTTTATATTCTAACAATACCCCTGCAGGTTGAGCGCTTTTATTATATATAGGCTGAAACTTGGAATGCACATTGCAGCGGTGTCAATTTTTAAAAAATCCACTTTAAATTCAGAGCAAGTGGGATTTAAAATTTAGACTGCATGCTCTGATACCATGTTAAAATCCCTCTAATTATTACACAAAACTCTGAAGCTATCAGATGATTAGGGAATATCATTTTGTATTCTGAAAAGATGCTGAGAGTCTTCATAAAATTAATCAATAAGGTCGAGCAATATTTAAAGTATCATCAACACTGTTATTGTTGCTAGGTAGCTAGAGTAGTCAGTAGAATACCATTTTACATTATCATATTGCTTGAAAACTATGATTATTTAGCAATAAGAATGGAGTATTAATTTGATATAGCAAAGTGCTGTACATATATGTATACGTCAATATCATGATATATATTATGTTCGTCTTACTTAGTAATATGCAATATAGAATTTGTAAGTTCAAACCTTAGCTGCTAGCGTATAATTTTTTTTCCCGTTTAAGGATAAATAAATTGAGTGAGATGAGTTAATCCTCTTATTCTGTGACAAATTATAGCAAAATAATCCTTTGCTTACGTACCCACTCCATATTATTATATATTTCATGTTGCACTACGTACCTAGTTAATACCTTAGTGTTAAGAGTAAAACTACAATTCTCAATCCTCTCCACAACTTCGAAGTATATATTTATGATGAGTTCAATTGTTACAAATTTGAAGTGAATTTTAAAGGGGGAAGTCCAGGCTTATAAAAAGTGCCCACAACTTTGGTGCATAAAACTTACAAGATTGCGATTGTTTATATATCTACTAGCTAATTACAGTAACATTAATCTTAAATTACATACCTTTGGAGCTCCACTTGCCAAAGAGGCTACATCCTGTTGAAGGGCTCTATATTCATTCATCTTCCACTTGGTTTTCCTACCTCCGGGAGCTCTCCCTGTATAAAACACCATCGTCTTCTTGGCTCCGATCACCCTGCAAGCCTCTCGGTTGCTCGAGTTGTAGACCCAACTCGGGGACCCTGTCGCCTTCCAGTACCCCGTGGGGGTCGTTCGCCTCGGCCTCCCCCCATGGATTTCTCTCTCCTGCCTTGGACAGAAGAAGAACCATTGCCCACGGTCCTCATTGCCGCCTCCTAAAATTTAATTAATTAGATTATGTCATGACTTAGTGTATAGGGGCCAGGTATCTAGCTATGTGCATGGGGTCAACATATATGGTCTCTTTTTCTTTCTGATACCTTTCATTAAGATTTTATGAAATTTCTATAACTATGAACATATATTCTTGATTAATACTCTCTAATGGTAACGAAGAAGATACATAGTGATGGAACTCGAAATATATATATAGAATCAACTTAATTTAGTGCAAAAACATAAATATATATACTACATGCTTAAAAATATATACCTGGCAGTTGCCAAGGATCAAAGTTATATATATCGAGCACGGGTATTACGCGTGCCATAGCTTCCTCTCTCTTCTTCTCGAGCTTGTTTCTGAGATAGAACCCTACGAGCTCTTCTTCTGTAGGAAAGAAGCGAAACCCTGGAGCACGGTGGCGGTCATCAACATCGTCATCATCATTAGCATTACTATTTTTTGCACTGCTGCTGCTCATCTTAATTAATGTTTGATTTCATTTCTAGGGACCATTCTTAATTAGTCAAACAAAATCTGAAACGGATCACTGGTTGAGCCGAACCAAACTGAATCGGATTATTTTTGTCCGGTTCGGTCGGTTATTTCGGTCTCGGTAAGGGGACGACGTTTCCCTTCGTAGCAAACGCAAGAGGAGAAGATAGAACTGTGAGATTTTGAGGAAAAATAAAAGATCGAAAAATAGGTATTCATCATTGAAGGCTGCTTCAAGCTTGTGAACGCGCCTCGTAACCTGGGGCTTTAGAAGGTACGGTGGGTGGGCCCACAAAGTTGAGAAGAGGTGTGAAATTGGGGGGGACTTGTGTGTGATAGGAGTGCGTCGTGGTGGGTCCCGCGAAGAGTGAGAATAACTTTCAATCATTTAAAACTAAGTCGGGTCGGGTTGATAGTATGCCGATTTACAAAAATAACGGTCGCACTGAACCGAAAATACGTAACAAACCAACCGCATTGACCGGTCGAAAATCGAGCGGTTCGATCGGTTAGTTCGGTCCAAGCCGTACTATGCTCAGCCCTTGTGGAAATTGCAGTGTGAAAGAAGCAATTAATATATTCCACATACATTTGAAGTTTGTGTGACCGCCGTAATTCAATTCCTTCGGACAATTCAAAACATGGTACTGAGATGAGAAAGTGTAGTTTCCGCCCCATTTCCCCATGTATATCTAGTGGATATATAGGTGATTTATTCTAGATCCAATCCTCATTATAATCTCTTACATCAGTTCACTAGCTCATTCCTAATTTACGTTCAAGGAAAAAACATAACCAAACATGAGATGATTAATAGTTGATATAATGCAGCGGTCTTTACCTTTTTTTAATAGTAAAGAGGATCTGAATTCTTGTTTATTAGGGAATTCAAGTGTCAATTGGAATGCTGGTATGTTGGAATGAGATGATAATTTGGTACTTGTTTTTAGGCTAAATTGTACTTAAATACACCATAGTTTCACTTAAGTTGCACTTGAGTGCCTCCATTGGTAAATTCACACACTTAAATACCCTAAAGTTTCTAAATGTTACAAGTTGAAAATCTCTGTTAGTAAATTGTTAGAAGATTCTTGGAATATTCCTAAATGACCTATCACGTGATATATTATTTCTCTACATTTATGTTCATTTCATTTATAATAAAATCACTCATATGCTATATTAAATAGAGGGGACATTTTCATCTTTTAGGAAAAATATAACCATGTTTGGATTTTTTTTTATGTAAATACTTTGGGGCATTTAAGTGCAGACATATAAATCTGAGGTCGTATATAAATTTGAGGTCGTTTAAGTGCAACTTAGGTGAAACTATAGGGTGCTTAACTGCAATTTCTCATTATTTTTACTCATGTGATGAGCCGAATTTGATATTATAACGTTGTTGCATTCACAAAAACACTGTAAGTAAATAAATGATCAACATTAGAGAAGTTGAAACCGCAAGGGTATTTTTAAAAGATAATTTTTTGATACAGAGAGTGACATTGGTCCAAAGAGCTCATAATCAAGAAAAGAGGTTTGAGTTCTACGTACTCAGCCACCAAAAAACAAAAAAAAAGAAGAAGAAGAAGGATATATCAACGCATCAAATCCCATTGGAGACGTCTTCACATGCTCCTCTCCTCACAATTGGACGCATCTTCACATACTCCTCCCCTCACAATCACCATCATCTGATAGTCTGTTTTTACTTTTATTTTTAATTTTTTATTTTTTAAGGAACTGATATAAGTCTTATATAGTTATCTGGAAAAAAACAAATGATCAGTTTCCAAGAATTAATCCTCCCAGCTGGTTGGAGGAGGGAAGTCGACATTAAATTAAAAGTCAACTAGGGAAAACATTCAGTCAGCTGGGCCCCACGGGGACCAAGGGCACGACCCCATCAGCCTGAGTCAACGATTCGCATGCAAGACCAGGGTCGTGGCATCTTCGCTTGTTAACCACGTTGAATTTTTTATCATGGTTTCTTAACTAGACATTCTTACTTGTTGAAATTAACTTGATAATACTTAGTTGTTGAGGGTGATTATTTTTGCAGTTACGTACTCGATGGGTACCTTGAGTTCAATGAATACTGAGAATCAAAAGGAGAGACGACATGCAAGATCAGCTGTAAAACTCAAAAGAGAGTTGGGGCTCATGATCCCTGCATGGACTCGGAACTCTGTGATTTTTTTTTTTTTTTTGGTCATTCCAAGCTCTGGGTTTTGCTTTCTTTAGACAAGAGAAATACTATGTGCATACGTTCATATGCCGCTGCCTTAGAACTTTGTTACTACTAGTTGAGCATAGGACACCTTGATTATTTCACTCCTCACTCTCGCTCTAGAAATTTTTTAAATTTTTTTTTTAAGAAACCATGTTTAAAACAAGATCATTGGGAAATAATCTGAAAAACAAAGTTTATAGTTGTGTTTTGAGCAATCAATTTGCTGGTCTCTCTTTCATTCCTTAGTCCAGGCCCAGCCCATCGAATTTATGATGATTAGGCGAATGTACTATTGGGCGTTACTATAGGCCAAAACTGCACGCTACTCGGTTTGTACTTATCTATTACTCAATACAAATGAAAGATCCTAAGATTCACTATTCATGCTACAGTCAATTTTATAGCATTAAACAACAGAGGACTGGATACTGTAGCAATTTTGAAAAATTAAATATCACTGTAACACACGGGAAATTGTAGCATTTTTAAAAATCTTTAATAGAGGTGGGAACTGTAGCTAAACAAAAAAGTCCTAGCATTTAAAAATTACTGTAGCAGAAAAAATGGATATGATGTGCTTTGCACGGCATTCAGGACTAGTTAGCTAAATACTGTAATATCTTGGTCGTGTCATCTTTGCATCCTACCTCTTCTAGTCGAAAAATATAAGGGACGACAAAGTGCGCATTAAGCTATACAAAACTGCTAAAGAAAACTCCACAATTAATTATTATTTTCGAGAATACACAATTTATTTTATTGCACAAATTAACAACAAACCCATAAGAGAAATTAAGGGCTAATGAGCACAACACAGCAAACAGTAATCTGTATGACAAAAGCAAGCAGAAATTTTATTAAGGCACTTCATATATATATAAAAGACGTACATAACATCATGAACACATTTAGCTGATAGAAAATCTTCAAGAAGCCATAGTAGTTCACAGCACAATTTAGGCCTGCTTAGCTATAGAAATCTTAGCACCACCACGTTTTTCTAGTAAAATAAATAAAAAGTTAATTATCAAGCACGCATAACATAATGAAGAAGGCTCAAGGAACTCCTATGATAGGAAGGAAAGGGAAGAAGAAGATCAATGGTATATTTCCGGTGAAGTTTGCCGGAGGAGGCAAAGCCATCGGAGGAAAAACTCCAAAATCCGGTGACTTCTTATCGTCGCTGTGGCTTTGATCAAAAACTTTTGGTGTAGGGTGTGAGATGAAGAAAGTGAGGGGCGTGGATAAGCTGTAGGAGCCACTCAAACCTGCAGGAGCTTTTATGATTTTTGACAGCATGGATTTCTTGAAAGCCCAGAGCTGAACCGGACCTCCCAGTAGCATAGCATAGCAGTTCAACGGAGATGATGAAGGTGAAGAGGAGTTTTTGGGGACCTCAGCTTCAAAGTTTCCTTTGTTGTTGGTTAAGGCAAAGACTAATTTTCTCTCAAATCTGCACTTAACTGCCACCCTCACACCTGCATTAACCAAAAAAAAATTAAAGGAGGAGGAGTTCTGTCATGAATACTAGCATCTTTAATCCACTACAGTGTTAATGAGCAAGCTTATAACAAGATAACTTGAAGACACCTAGAGAAGCATTAATTTCAGTATAAAAAAAAGGGTCTTATTATGAATGAGCAATTTTTTTTCTTAGCCTCTACTGGAATAATTCAAAGTGTATATTACAGAAAATTCCCCTAAGGTAATGCATGCGTGACAAAATAACCACTTAGCGTTGCAAAAGTGAGCATTTGATCCCCGCTAATTCAATTTTTACAAGATTAACCTGGAGCAAAAACTACAATCATATAATGTGACAATTATACGTACTCCTACACGAACATATATACCATTGTTGTATTAGAAGTTAGCGATTACATCTGAAAGGTGATGATTATTTGACTAGAAATTGAAAACAGGATAGATAATATTATCGCTTTCAAAACCTTTGGGGGTATTCTCTCACTCCTATAAACCATACGAGGATTTTTTTTTTTTGGTGATGTATATATGGATCAAAAAAGAAATAGGATAAATTAAGATAAAACACCGGAGAGATCTTTGTGAGGATTGCAGTCGACGCAAGAGACGGAGCCCTTCACCAGTTGACAGGACGAGAGATTGATGCTTGCAAGAGCGAGAACAAGGACGAGAACACGGACTGCTGCACAATGGGGAGCCATGGGGAGCAAGATTGATTAGGGTGCGCTATTAGAAAGACCCACACAAGACCTTATATAAAGGAAAAAGATAAGAGGCCATTAATGAGAAGATAAGAAGACATTAATGAGGGGGTTGTTGAGCTTACAAGAGTAGATGGCATAAAGAAGAGAAAATCTGGATTATTAATGGCTAAATCAAATATTTTTGTAGCTAGAGGTCACTCTGATCAAATTCAAAATCCCCAAAAAAAAAAAATGATTAATGGTGAAAGGTCGGCAGAAGACGCGAGTTATAAATCATAAATTTCATATTGTAAGCCTTGGCGTGTGACACGTTAGACTTGACGATGTTACGTACCTTAGGGGTCTAAAGCGAAAAATCTTCAAGTAGTTTAGCAGAATAAAACGGATCGAGTTGTGTGCAAAACCCTTCAAATTTCAGGAGGGTTTCGTGGAATTGAAACAGTTGAGGGGTTATCTCAAAAATGGCCAAAGTTAAATATTTCTTTCAAAACGCATAACTACAACAGTTCACTTCATGACTGTTGGTAAGATTCAGCCCTTAATTTCCCTTTAAAACCTTGAGAGATGGTAAGACTGTTGGTATATATATACTTAACAAAGTCCACCGCAGCTAGCCCCACATCGATCTCTTCAACAAGTGACATGAACATGAGCAGCAAGTTTGATATATGGTTTCATGTTGAAGCAGAAGGCCCACAAGAAATTATGAAAGTGTTGACAATGTAAACCTTCAAATTTTATTTCGTCCTTGATCGGCTATAATTTAATTGACTTAGAAAGTAGTTGGACTAACATTTTCAACAGCTAGCCCATGAATTAATACGCTATGATTTTTGTGGTTGTATATAATTATGAGTACTCCACGCGCGCTCCAAAGTCTTGTATATAATTATGAGAGCTTTCGGGCGAGGCCATGAATCCTTTGCCGGATAAAACTAGGGCAAGCGATCCATAGCGGCATAAGTTGGCGGCTCCTCTTTAAAGCATGCGTGTAAAATCTTGTTGTTGTGCTCGCTGTGATAATTAAAAACAAATTAATTAACAAGTTGAGTAGTTAATAGTTATGCAAAATTGTAAAGATGAAAACTCAACGTAACTGATCATGCTTTGCGTACGTGCAACATTTTGATTTAGCTACTTTCTTTGAGTAACGGGGCAAGATGTCCAAGAACTTAATTTATAAAACCAATTATATATAGAAGAAAAAACATAAAAAATATACACAAATTAAGAGCTAGCGGTATGAAGAAAAGCGATCGAAAAGTACAAGAGGAGAAGCAAAAAAGAAAGGTTATGAATACTAAAATTTACAAAGAAACGTATATAAGAGTAAGGAAGAACGAGAAGAAGAGAGGAAAAAAAAACTTTCAGGGCCTTCTATTTCGAAGCAAAGGCAAACGGTTAAGACACAATTTCTCTAAACATGCATGAAGCATTCCTCACAATTTCTCTAAATTTGGCAATGAACAAATTGCCAATAAAATTTTGAAAAAGAGTAGTGGGTTTGCTGCAAATTCTAGAAAGATCATTTGCAGGTAGAAAAGCCATAAGTTTAAAGTTATGCATGCATCTAACAAACGCATGTTGTTTTCATAACCCATGAGCACTAAAAGCAAGCATAACTTCGATAATTAATGGCATATATGGTCATAAAAAACTGGGCCTGGGCTCACAACTGTAGGCCATCTCATGGACCCTAGTTACAACTTTTCTCAAAAAAGATTACACTTAATAAAACAACCAAAATATCAATTATCAAATGTTCGACTCCTCGACCGTTAATGTTACATAAGACACAGCTACAGGTTTTTTGTAACTCAATAAACGTAAAATCAGATGTATGAGGAGAAACCTAAAATGTTTTATTTTTTATTTTACGTCTCAAGAAATTTGTCCGTAACAAGGCCAAAAGCGTCCCGACCATGTTTTATTTTATTTTATTTTTATTTTTATTATTTTCAAACTGATATCGTGTCCTAGTGCAATAATAAGCTTCTGTTTTCTAAATATTTCGTCATCTAAAATGTTTCATTCTCTCATAGTAAAGTTCGGAGACGGTACAAGAGCTCTCTTGTTCAGTCCTTGGCAATCACAAAAGATAAACGCCGGGATTTACTAGGGGGATGCATTTGATCGACCTCCTCTTGGATCCTTATCAAATCAGGAATCTAGACACCTTTGGATTTATTTTAAAGCTGCAATGTAGAACAAATGCGTAGGAACAATCGCCTTGTCCTTTTTACAACTAAAGTTGTAGTCAAAACAAACTAGCACCGCAAACTTTTTATTAAAAAAAAATTCTGCGAACCAAAGAGGTCTAACATGATTGAGATGCAGGTGAAGATTAGGTGGCTAATGAAATTGTACTGACGTGTATTATGCTCTCTAGATTCTAATTACATATTATATATACGGTTTTTCTATAAAGTGCTCATGGGTACTTTATAAAAGAGGAGAAAGATAGAGAGAAATAAATAGCTCATGGGTACTCCTGATTTGCATTAATTTCTGTGCATAATTCATTTTTCTCTATTTCTCTCCTCTCATTTTCATAATTGCGGTTCGTTAATAATTAAGACCGTCAAGAGAAATGCATAGTTTTCCCAACCAGAGCAAGCTCAAATTTCTACCATATTTTTGCATTATGCGAAGACCGTCCAACGATGAAAATATTGAAGAGTCTCAACATTTGAATCCAAAATCTCAGCACATTTTCCCTTCAAAAATTTTGAGCTAAAACAGATATAACAGGAAAAGATCCAATATTTCCTCTATTTCCCATAAAACAATCTGCAAATAAATTTTCCAAGGACAGTATATTATATATATATAAGATAATCACACCTCTTTATTCTCGTATATTATGTATATAAAGATAAACTCGCTCTACAGTACAGACCTCAAGCTCTCTGCAAAATTTCTTCAAAATTTTCACCCAACAAAAATAAAAATAAAAAAAGAAACCCATCAATCCTCGAATCCAGTGGTTCGAAAAACAGCGTTCCTCACTCTCCTCAGATCCCTCCCCTTCCAAAGTCCTCCCTTTCCTTCGAGCACGAGAAGGTGGTCGCCATCGGCGACGACTCCCTGCTCTCTCTCCTCGCCACGATCTCATGCGGCGGCATCATCATCGTCTCGTCGTCGTCGGACGTCCCAGCCCCGCCGTTGATACCGAGCCCCCTTCCTCCCAAGTTGGCCGCCGGTATTCTCACGGCGCCGAGCTGTAGTACACCCTCTCCTTCCCTTCTTCGCTTTCCCGCCGGGGAGGGATCGGTCATCGCGCGACGAGGAGCAGGAGATGGACAGTTCGGCGTCAGGCAGGGGCAAGGGTTCCGATCGGGGAGGCGGCGAGGATGCGAGGCGCGGGCCGGCGGGATCGCGCGGCGGGAGGGGTCGGGGTCGGGGTTTAGGGTTTCTGGCTACGGGGGGGTTTGGGGATTGGGACCCGAAGATGTCTCTCATCTGTTGAGCTCGCGCGCGGAGGGGGGGTCGCGGGCGAGAAGAGGCCGAGGAGGCGATCCGACCCGCTTCCGGTGAGGGTTTCCATGAAGCGGGTCGGGTCCGCGGCGAAGAGCCTCAGCAGCATAGCGGGTTAACGGTGTGAGATTCGCTGCGCTTGCTATTGAGAGGTCCGGACTTCGGAGTTGGGATTTATATTAGGGAGGGGAGAGGGGAGGCGGGGAGTTTGTTGTGGCGGGCCACTCCGCTTCCATCATTAATGTGTATGCCACCTGCCAAATATAATTACGTACATAAAGATTGATGACCAAGTTTAATTTAGAGGACAAATTCACCCACCCAACAAGGGGGGGATGCGTCCGGAGGCTTACTTGCGCACGTCAGTCCAAACGCGGAGTAACCTAAAAGATCAACGGGAGATAAATAAATAACACCTGAAAACATTCAGCATCACTAAATATATCATTGTCTCATAGTAGGAAAATATATATTTATATAAATTAAATACACCTGGGGTTGCCGTCATTATCACGTATGATGCAATTTTGTACCGCTCCGCACTTCTTCACGTACGTGCTTCTTTTTTGTAGCTTATTAGGATATTAGAATGCTTAATTTAATTAGAAATATAAAACGGTCCCGTTGGCAATGATCAATTATCCCGAGATTACACTAAAAGTGACCTCCATCGTCAATTAATATGAGAGGGACCAAAAGTAGGTCCGTGACGAAACAAATATAGAGAAGAGAAATACCTCTACAACACATGCATCCCTTGGTGGGTAGGTCTCTATCATTATATTGTTTAATTACTACAAAGTTAAGCATGCTTAATTAATCTCAAACATGTCGTCATCATTCTATTTGATTCATCTCATATTTTCTAGTTTAACAGTGGTACTGCAACAGCTTTGTTGAATCGAATGAGTAACGAAGTATGATGCGTTGTTATTAATAATCTCTGGTGTTGATCGGATCGCACAAGCCAGAGCCGAAGCCACAGAGAATTTCTCGAGTTTCAAGCATTTGTCAACTTAGGATGGCATACAATTTGGTTCGGCAAAATCGCACGACAACAAAGGGAAAAAAATTTTTTGATTCCAGAACCGATCCATATGATGTCATTAGTTTCAATATTACATAACATATTCTAGAAATTAAAATAATAAGCTCACCTCTCAATGAGATGACACAATAGAAGAATAGGGTCCACACGGTAAGGGAGAAACTAGTTGCATTGCTTTTATGGATATGACGCCCTCACATTAGTTTACAGAAGACGGTGATCAGAAGTGAAATTTACTAAACAGTGTAGTAATTAAGTAGATGCTCGTTTGTTTCTCGAGAAAGTCACAGAGCAAACGATCGAAGGCAAGAGGTTGGAAGGGAATAGCACGCGGATGGTCAGCGAGAGGAGACAGAGAGTTTGCGAATTTGCATCCTGAAGGGGCACAAAAGCTTCTCAAATAATCAGGTCGTATAGAGACCTTTGCAATGCGTACTAACAAGGACGAAGGGTGAAACTACAGGTAATATTGCCCCCGACTCTAAATACCAGCTAAACAAACATCTGAAATGAGTGAAATATTAACCTCTTACTCAATGACGAAACATGTACGCGACAAGGATCTGCACAAAGCTCAATTTCAAAGGAGATACCAGCAAAATGGGAAAAAAAAAAATCTAAGCATGAAATTTGTATACTTTTGATTTGTTGGATTAGCCCAGCCTTCTCACTTTGTTGTCTGATATTCTTAATAGAAGATATTTGTTAAAATGGTATTGTGTTTATATTTCATTAGATAATTCAAGTGTATAATAACAGATATTTGCCTGTCCTTTTTCTCTACTTTTTATTTGTTGGAAGTTCTTTTGGGATTTTATGTAACTAATAAGTAAAACTTTCTTTTTTTTTAAAATCAAGAGAAAGAAAAAAATTCAGGAGGAACCATCATGTCTGCTATTCCTTGAATCAGTTCAAATTTCCAAGTAAAAAATGGTCCCCCAACAAATAGGTAAGGTAACTTACGGAGAATTCAGCTACATTTTCACCAATACTTATAAATCTCAGTATCATTGCTGCCTCCAACCCGTTGATGAGTAATCGAGTCTAACCTAGAGTTGATGGGACTTAAACAGAGACTAAAAACCAATTTTAACCCAAAAGCTAAAACTTCTAGGTATTGGCAACAACTTCTATTTTAAACTCATCACTCTTTTTAATCATATCTAATGTGGGACTATACTCACATATTACTAACCTCAACAACACCCCTTAATTTGTGAGTATAGTTTAATTTTTAACTACACTTCAATCTTCCACGGGATTCACTAACTTTTGCACCAATTTACTCGTGGGCTAACCAATTCGCTAACTCTTGCACCTACTTTTTTCGTGGGCTAACCAGAATATACATTAAGCACATGGCTATCGAATATTTGTAGGATCTTCCGCCAATCCACTCATGGTGGCTTATCATATCATATCACTCCTACAGGCATCCATGGGTTCTCGAGACACATTCAGGCTTCATATTGGACTTTATTTTTTTAATATTTCATCTTTTTTTTTAAATTACTTGGACTACAAGCCTAGCCCTAATACCATTTGTTGGGGAGTAATTGAGCCAATCCTAGAGTTGATGGGCCTTAAATAGAGGCTAGGAATCAATTTTAACCCAAAAGCTATAGCTACTAGGTATTGGCCCCAACTTCAATTTCAAACTCATCACTCTTTTTAATTATATCCAGTGTGGGACTATGCTCACCTATTGATAAACTCCAACGTGAGACTATATTCATATATTAATAAACTCCACAATCCTAGATTAAGATAAACCCCCTTCAGAGAATAGGTGGTGCAATTAGGGTTTATTGGTGCATGAATTCCATGATGAGAGTGTTCCATATTGAACTTCAATTTGTCATAAGGTCCAACTGGGTGGTAAAGGATGGAGTAGGATTGCGTGAGGTACTAAGTTGACTCGGTTGCAGGCTGCAGCCTCTGTTTAAAAAAAAACTTATTGGGAGAAATAATCTCTTTGAATTGATGTAATTGTGAGGACAATTGCTCATCTGCGTCCAAGGTGAACTTATTATGATAAGTCCTAACACGAAACTAGTTGTACAAAGAGATCTCTAAATCACTAGAGCCATTCACAGTAGTATATCAAGTCATAAAATGTCTCCTGATAAGTAAATAGGTAACGTACGTGACTGTTATTGTTCTACGCGAGGAACTGCCTATTGAAGATTTCTTTGAATTATGTAACAGAGATATAGCACAAGTATGTATTCCTAGATGAAGTAGCCGAAGCTAAAACTATGATGCATAAGAGGCGAACTATCGCATCCATAATTATGAATCAAGAAGCCAGACTGCTTTTCCTGGACATAAAAATTGAAGTATGAACACCTGGCGTTGCAGACAACTTCAATGCAATACTTAAGTGAAATGCATAGTGAAATTCCAATGTATGATTCCAAAGAGGCAACAACTATAAACTGACTGAAGAGTGGAACTAATGCAGACTAACCTCGCAGAGCTTTCGCTAATTGATCCAAAGAGTGCCAACTCTAAATGCCATCTTTTACAACTTCATCAGATGCATCAAGACTTCCTTCATCCGGTCTCCCCTCTCCCAACTTTTTCCAAATGTTTCCCACTCCTCCGGCTTCTCAGAATTGCGTCCGACTTCTTCATCAACTTAACATACTTTTCCCTCACCTTCAACATCGGATGCCTCTCAATCCCACTGTCCGATCCCCCGCAGTAAGCCTCTTTAAGAACAACATAACAAGTCTTGTTCTTCAATAGAATGTAGAACACACGACAGTGCCTCTCGAAACACTTGTAGAACTTCTGAGGCAACCCCAAATGCTTCCTCAGACAAAGAATTCTCCTCCTTTCAGCTGAACAATCCACAAACAAGGACAGCATTTCATGGAGAACACCCACGACTCTCTTCTCCGCGACGTCGCTACTTGGATCCAAATGCGAAGAATCCTCGTAAGGAGAAACATAAGGAATATTCTGAAATTTTTCCAACCAAGCTTCGACTTTTCTTTTCAAGCGCAGACCCTTTGAAGGGAATAAAGGGAATTTACCCATCGAATTCCTCTGAACTGCTGAGAGAATTTGCTCATTTGGATCAATGACGGCTCTCAATCCTTTCTCCCCATCCCCGGTCTCAACGATCTCAAAAAACCCATCTGGAATCCCATCTTGGCTCTCGAGAAAATCTTCAGGCAACCCCAGATACCAAAGCATCCCTTGAACTATTTTCAGAGGGAGCATCTTCCCCCTCGACATCAGAATTAGCCTTCTAAGCCTCCGCACAATCTCGAGCTTGCGTTTATCATAAACCGAGTTTTCAAACTCGCTAAGCTCGATAGCGTCTTGGGTAAGCCTGAACCATGGCAAATTATACTGAGGCCCAACAAACTCCTCGAAGAACGACGGGTACTTTCTCATGAAACCCGCGACTCTACCGGATATTTCGAACTCACGGGCCCGTTTAGAGATCGAAGATATAGGGATTGAGCGGTTGGGTTCGTTTGATATGATGTTTTTGATGGTGAGGAGAGGGCGGAGGTCTTTGGATTTGGCGAGGACGTCGATGGAGTCGAAGAAGGAGTCCTTCTTCAATTTCATGGTGACGTTGACGTAGGTTGAGGTTTGAGTGGAGAAGGGGTTTGGGAGAGAGAAGAGGAGGTGTTTGAGGGTTTTGCTGCGGATCATCTGGCTTTAAGAATTTGAGGTTTTAGTTCGTGTTTGAGAGGTGTTCGATGAAATGCGTGAGAGGGATAAAAAAAGGAAAATAAATAGCCAGGCGAGCGGTGGCGACGGGATGGGGGGAGTGAGCAGGAGGCGCGGTTGTTTGAATGGGACGAAACCGACGGAAGTATAAACGCATGGGGTAAATTTCACAAAACCTCCCTGGACTTTGGACATTTGCCAGTGTTTTACCATAAAACTCTCTGAACGTGTGGTGTCTCGCAAAACTCCCTAAAAAACTTCAAATCTTCATGTGAATCCTCTAGACAATGTTAATAGATCGATGAGCATCTGTTTTTCTAAGGGAAAAAACAGCGAGTTAAAATAACTACTAAAATAACTACGGAACAAATCTCGGTCAAAAAAACAAAATATTCTAAAAGAGAGCCAAAAATATCATCCACCTGAACGGACAAATTTTCTAAACCAACCTATTTGGACTTTTATTCCCAAAAAACGACCCCATTCAAAAATAATTGCAAAAACCGACCTGGTTTCAGCCTCAGCGCTGAAACCAGGTCGGTTTTTGAAAAAAACTCTCCGAAACTTCACGGGAGTTGAACTCCCGTGAAGTTTCGTAGTTCAAAAAACTTCACGGGAGTTCAACTCCCGTGAAGTTTCGGAGAGTTTTTTTCAAAAACTTACCTGGTTTCAGCGCTGAGGCTGAAACCAGGTCGGTTTTTCTAAATAAATGTGAAACGGGTGTTTTTTTGGGAATAAAAGTCCAAATAGGTTGGTTTTGAAAATTTGTCCCCACCTGAACAAACAAAAGCACAGTGCAAAGAAACAATAAGCAACCATCATTCTTCCTCCATGTGGATGTTATGCTTGTCCTTGCAATCTAAAAGCAATTTGTACAAGCACTTATTTGCGCAACTAAAATAAGGGTTGATTGTGGATTGTGTATAAAACCCCTTGTAGTTCTATTGTTGCAAATTGAACCCTTGCAGCTCTGCTCAAGTGCGGATATGTGCAGGGTATCAAAGTTACACATGCTTGGGGGTACCGTGTGTTCAGGTGCAGATAAACTATTGTGCCGCTGCGATTCAATTGTTTCTAGCACCGCCGAAGGGGGTTGAAAAATAGTGGAATGAGGGAGGGGGGTTGAAAAAATTTTACATACGTCAAAGCATCTGTTATTTTTATCCGGCAATAGATTCTCCCCCCATAAAACCCAAATAATCCAAATATCTACATTCTGAATTTATACGTACAATCGAGAATTGTAGAAAACACCCCACCATCTCGTTCCCATTTCGGGCAACGACGAGCGAATGGCATCTTCATGCCTCGCTTCCATAATCTCTCCGAAGATTCCTTCTTCCTCTTCACCAAAAACCCTAATTCTAATCTCCAGCGATGGCAGAAGATCGAGGTCTCGGGGATTTCTCAGAGCAGGGCGGGGGGTTTCGCCTTCTTCGCCTCGGATTCGGCCGATTTGTTGCTCGTCAGGAGATGAGCCTTACTCGGCTGGAGATAATGGGTCCGGGTACAAATTTCCATCATATTTTGGTTTTTTTTCGGTGTTAGTTGTGGAATTGAGCGTGGAATTTTAGAGAAAGGTCCAGCCTTGAGCTTTGGCTAAGCTTAAAGAATGAATTTTGACGAGCTAAATTGAAATTAACTAGGCTAATAATGTACAAGATATTAGCTTTTTAGAATGGGCTTAAGAGATAAAATATCCGCTTTCATGTTTATGCGTATTAGGAGCTTGAGGAAGAATTTTTCATGGTTATTAAAGTGGGAGCTAACTAGCTGTGCTTGTTTGATGTCATGCTTGTAGTTTTTGTATTATAGAAGGCCCGGAGACAGTCCAGGATTTTATGCAGATGCAGCTGCAAGAAATTCAAGACAATATAAGAAGTCGACGCAACAAAATATTCCTCCTCATGGAAGAGGTGAAACATGATCTTCAATGTTTACGGTGTTCCGTATCCTTGTCTTTTGTTTGTTAGAAAAGAAGTTATTACTGGTGTTAGGAAAGAATCTACTACCTCCGAAGGAATTTCGCTTAGTTCCTTCTGCGGATAGATGAAAGGATAGGAAATTAGAAGAAATTTAGTCATTTATTGACGCCTGCCTATAATACTATGTTTTGAAATGCATTTCCTTAGTTGTGTTTTTCTTTTATCATTTAAATTTCAGGTGAGGAGATTGCGGGTGCAACAACGCATAAAAAGTGCCGAATATATTGATGAGAACGGCGAGGAAAATGAGATGCCTGACATGCCATCAACTATTCCATTCATCCCCACAATGGTGATATTCTGAAAGCTATAATTACATTTTTTATCTTATTGGATGTTTTTGACATGCTAATTTTTTTCTGACTCTTTTTTATATATTGTCGTATCAGACACCAAAAACCTTGAAGCAACTCTACCTGACATCATTCTCTTTTGTATCTGGGATAATAGTTTTCGGAGGCCTCCTTGCACCAGTTGTAAGCTTCCTTTTTTCCCCTGTTGATGTATTCTCACGTTTCTTTCAGACTTCAAACTGGTTGTGTCTTTTTTGCAGTGGTGCTAACTTGATACCATTGAGTCTTCAGTTCGTTCTTCAGCTTGTTTTATGTTAACCACTATATCATAAGTTTGCACATATTGATATATATCTTTTATTATGGGATCCTGTAATCTTTAGAAGCTTTAGTTTCAACTATACCAAGCACAAACATCTGAATCTGGTGTTGCTTAATTCAATTTTTTGCAAAAGTCTTTTCCTGATATTATTTATATCCTGCATTAGCTTTTAGTTTTCATCAGTTATCATGACCTTATGACCAACTTCAAGCAGCTTGCCTAATTCCCTTTTATTGTTTTCAAGCTTAAAAATATTCTAGAGATGCTTGTGCAATTCCTAGGAAGCGTGTTCTGAATTATTGTCTGATGCATGCACGTTCTTGATTCTTTAAAACTCCATATGGCAAGTTTATTAAGAATGAATATGGAAACATATAGTTTGCTGTAACATGCTTTATTATGATCTCTGCAATAGAGTTGGCTGGATTTTCCACCTTTTAAAATATAAGGCTGGATAGTTGGATGGTTTCTTAGGTTTCATTCATTTAGCTCTAACCCTCACTAAGCTAAGGTGCAAGATATTCTGTAAGCTATTTGAGTTGTAGAAAGGAACCCTCTCTCTGCAGTCCGCACGTGCCGTAGTAAAATGGAAGAATCATGTGCTGAGCACATACTCTGTAACATAAAATAGCTCTTTATTGCTAGAAGCTTTAGTTATGATTTTGTGGACTTATAGATTTAGCAATAATGGTAGATGAATTACCATGGAAAGAAGGGTTAAAATCTCTATTCCTCCCTTTCAGGTACTTGCCGCGTAAAATGGACGAATCATTCCGTTATTTCTCTTTATGAAAATGATTACCATAAAAGCAAAGAAGTTTTAGAATATTTTCTACTCCCCTTAATATATATGCCATTGTCAATATACGAATGTAGTTGCTCATACACTAGGTGACTTAAAGAACATCTCTTCTGTTGTAGTAACTTTGACATATGTTTTTATGAGTCAAAAAGGTACCCTGTGGAAATTTGTTGATATGTGTTCTCACTATCATTCGTTCTCTTTTCCATTTATATACTTGATCATTTTGCCTTCGGTTTATACAATTTATATGTCTTTTACTTATTTACTCACTTGTCCTTCCATTCTTATTCTGCTTAATGACGTTAAGCTTCAAACTATTTCTTCTGCAGCTGGAGCTGAAGTTAGGCTTGGGCGGTACTTCCTATGAAGATTTTATTCGTAACATGCATTTGCCGCTGCAATTAAGGTTGATCTATAATAAAAATAACTATCTGTTCATTGTGCAAAAACTTTTTTTCTCATCTGAATTTCTATTTTGTTGCGGTTCAGTCAGGTGGATCCCATTGTGGCCTCTTTTTCAGGTGGGGCAGTGGGTGTGATATCAGCCTTGATGTTAGTTGAGGCCAACAATGTCGAGCAACAAGAAAAAAAGAGATGCAAGTACTGCCATGGTACAGGTGTGGCTTTGTCTAATCTAAGGAGTTCTGTGTGTTTAAGAAAATCTATGCGTTGATTCCCATGATTACTGTAAATTATTATTGCGTTTCTTTAAGAAAAGGAGATCGCTGTTTCATGGTGGCAGGTAGATTCAATGGTCCTATGGTTTCAGGATGTCTTCTTATAGTATATGTACATAATGCTAGAGATGAGATGATTTTCAGTTAGTTGGCTTTCTGTATGAAAGTGAATCATATTGTGCTTCTTCTGGATGAACAGGATATCTAGCCTGTGCTCGATGCTCTGCAAGTGGTGTGTTAGTGAGCACAGAACCAGTTTCGATAAATGGAAGCTGTGAGCAACCTTTGCGAGCCCCTTCAACTCAGAGGTGCCAAAATTGCTCAGGGGCCGGAAAGGTATGGCCTATTTGATTATGCGTAATTAAGTTATAACCTGAATCAGCTTCGTACGCAGAACTCAGTATCCTTGACTTGTTCTTAATTTCTTCGCAGGTCATGTGCCCAACATGCCTTTGCACGGGAATGGTAATGGCCAGTGAACACGATCCAAGAATAGATCCATTTGATTAGACAAGGATGGGTGGAGTTCGGGTGATCCTGCTGGTTTTTCCTCGTGTTTCTAGGTTTTTTTTATCAACCTTCATAGCTTCTACGAGTTCATGTAGTGTAGATTAAGCATCATTGTTGAAATGTCGCTTTTTGTCAGCGGCGGCAAAGTTTGCCTCTCATGGAGGTGCGTAGGTATGAGGTTGTCTGTTGATTATTCTGTTAAGAGAATAGAGAGCAAATGTATGGAATGCTTGGTTATTCAAAGAGTGTATAACGCTGAACTACGGTGCTGTATTCAACGATGTTCTGTATTCGCTCTTCTCCCCGTTCACCTGAATAAAATCAAGGTGACAAGATTACATTGTTTACATTCATACTACATCATCAACGGATATTGACCAATTTGTATATGGTAAGGAAATCAGTTCAAATTAACTATACGCTGATTGAAAATGTACTCAAAGATCATCAAAGAAAGGGGAGAGAGAGAAAAAAAAAAGTGCGCCAGCTTAAAGAGTTCTGCTGTAGATTTGATGAAGCCTAAAAGGTTATCCCAGAGGGAAAAATTGAAGATTGGCATGGAAAGATATGCGAGTATGATTCACATGGCAAACATTTTAGCAATTCGTTTTATAACATCTTAAAGAAGAATTAAAGAAATCCATCTCATTTTATAACATCTTAAAGAAGAACTAAAGAAATCCATCACATAAGAATGAAAAATAGATTAGAAACATAGAAATTCATATCACAGCATTTTTAAGAAAAATTAGAGAAATCCATCTCATAACAATGAAAAACACAGTGAAAAACTTAAAATTAATTAATTGTGACAGCTGTGGGATTTGAACCCACGCCCTTTCGGACCAGAGCCTAAATCTGGCGCCTTAGACCACTCGGCCAAACTGTCGCAACAATTACGCTGCACTCATAAAGATAGGATTACTGAGCAGAGAACCAAAATTCATCTCATAACAATGAAATACATATAAATATCTTAAAATAATTGATTGTGGTCTTTGAAACGGGCTCCAAACTACTCATCAACCTCTTCCAAGAGACCCGAAATCCACACTGACCGTATCCAAACATGCGGAAAAATTATCAATAAATTGCAAGATGTGAGAACTAATTTTCGGATATGCAACCCCCCACCCCCCACCCCACCCCACCCCACCCCCACCCCCACCCCACCCACCCCACCCAAGGTCTCCAAAAACCAAGTGGTTCATATTTTAGCTCAGTCAACAAGGTATGAAAACTAATTCTATGGCGTTGAAGGACACAAATGCCTTTAATATTGGAAGAGTTTGGCTCGGTTTTCCGTAGGCTAAAAATAACCAATTAAAACATAATAGGTTTTCCATTTAAAAATCAAGCTCTTTTCAAAACTGGGTCGGGGCTGATCCTGAAATAGTTTTTAGTTAGGAGAGTGTCAAATAGACTTTTTTGGCATTCTATCAAAAAAACTAGTGCGTACCATGTGCAAAGCACGGCTCCTTGTTTTTTTTTTTTTTGAAGTATTGCATTTCAACATACTTCCTTCTAAGATTTAATACATTTTGATTTTATTATTGTATGTTAAAAATTAGAAATTATATCTTTTTCTCTATACTTTAAAAAGTATTCAAAAATTTACTGTTCACCCTACAATAAAATACTTTAGCATAAATAGTAAATTTACTGGCCTGTACTGGAAGGAATATCCAAAGATATATTATTCATACTGTGTTAATTAAACAAACTGTAACATGAACAGTAATTTTTTGGATCCTCGCTAAAATACAGTTATAATATTATAGGACATGCAGTTATAATATTACAAAAACCATAATATTTAAACCAACAAAATGGTATTAATCTTATATAAATAGTACTACTAGATGAAAAAAATTATCAAATAATAGAAACTAGATGAAGATGCTCACTTCCTGCATATCATCTTGTTTTGCCTGTATTTCCTCGCGGGAGGGATGAGTGAGGGTTCGATCTTGATGCCATTCCCGCCTCCTCTCAGCCTCAGAGACAGGTGAAGGGTCGACTCTGCAAAATTTCCCGCCAAATTAACTCAAATATTTTAAAAAAGGACAAATTTTGAAAAACGACCGTTTTTCAAAATTAATAAGCAAAATCGCCCATTACACAAAAAAAATCAGCAAAATCGACCATTTTCAATAAAAATGGTTGTTTTTGCAGTTTTCAAACTGCACGGGACTAGTAGTCTCGTGCAGTTCTCCCAAACACCACCACCCGATGCTTCTCCCCCCACCTTCATCACATCTCCTCCCTGCCTTGATCCGTGCAGTTCTCCCAACCTGCCTTGATCCCCCATTCATCACATCTCCTCTCCGCCCTCAAGATCCACTACTCGATCCTCCACTGGATCTCCCTCCTCCTCTCCCTCGCCCCCAGCCACAAGCCCACCATGCTCTTCCTCATGGCCATCTTCGGAGGAGGTTTCTTGGCGGTTTAGGAGGAATTGGAGGTTGTAGATTCGGATTTTTCGAGAAATGCCGCCAATTGCGAGGAGGCGGTCAGAGGGTTCGAGCTCGACAGCGCCGAGGATGTTAGAGACCTCGCTAGTGCGGGGGGAGATGGCGGCAGCGAGGGAGAAGATCCACTCGCATTGAGCTTGGTCTTGATCTTCTTGTTGAGGGGGTTGATGTCGTTGTTCTTGAGAGGCGTTGTTGCTCATTAGCCATTCATAGATTGATGAGATGGGGCTAGGGAGGAAGTTTCGGTTGACATTATTTAAGGAGGGGGTAGGGAGGAGGAGAAGGTCAGGGGTCGAGGGAGTTGATGAGGGGGGAGAGGAGGGGTCGGAGGAGATGTGATGAAGGTGAGGGGAGAAGCATCGGGTTGGGTTTGGGAGAACTGCACGGGACTACTAGTCCCGTGCAGTTTGAAAACGGCAAAAAACGACCATTTTCATTAAAAATGGTCGATTTTACTGATTTTTTTGTGTAACGGGCGATTTTGCTTATTAATTTTGAAAAACGGTCGTTTTTCAAAATTTTTCCTTAAAAAAAAATCCAAATCCATCAGAAATAGAGATTATTAAAAAAATTTTGACCTCATTGGATGTCGTAATCGGCTACGGTTTTATCTTCGTCCAGTTGATTCCCCCCAAATATTAATATATATATAATACTTTAATTATAATATAATATTTTAAAAAATATTACATTGAATAAAATAAAATATTATAATATTTTATACAGTACATTATATCCTATGATACTATATTCTAATATAGTAAATTAAATAATATATTATTAAAATATTATATTAAATATATTGTTCATATATTATATCAATTATCATATAATGTAGCACACTTATGTAATGTAATATAATATAATAATTAATAATATTAATTAGTATAACATGTTATATCTTTGTATAAATAAAATAACATATTATATTAAATATTATATTATTGAAATATTATATTTAAGTATATAGTAAAATAATATTGTATTATAATAATATACTAAACCAATTAGATAAGTTACTTTAGAAGTAATTGATAGATAAAACCATATTTTAATGAGGTGTCACATCATCAATTATCTCACATGAATTGTCAAATCAAAGGTTCAAATTATCATATTATCCCACTTATCCCACTTTAGCTCACTCAAAATACACCAAAAGGATGAAATTGTTCCACTGGAACAATTATCCCACTTATTAGTCTCAACTTAATTGTCTCAAATTGTCTAATGTGATTCTGACTTCCTTTCTTACCTTCAGATTGAATATTTTAATTTTATTTTATATGTTACTTGGGTGTCACGGTTTTTATTGCTTCCATTTAAATACCCCAAAACAACTTGCGACGCAAGCAAGGTTGTTTTTGATCTGCCTCTATATAAACGCAGTTCATAGAGCGGGGAAAGCTCAGACCACGACTTAACAGGAGAAAGGATCAGGAGAATTCAAAATGCAGATCTTTGTAAAAACTCTATCCGAGAAGACGATCACCCTCGAAGTGGAGAGCAGCGACAGAATCGACGATATCGAGCTCAAGATTCAGGAGCAAGAAGGGGTTCCCGTCGACCAGCAGCGTCTGATATTTGGCGGGAATCAACTGGACGAAGATAAAACCGTAGCCGATTACGACATCCAACGAGGTCGATCTTTTTTTTTTATTTTTTTTAATAATCTCTATTTCTGATGGATTTGGAGTTTTTTTTTATTTAATATTTGAGTTGATTTGGCGGGAAATTTTGCAGAGTCGACCCTTCACCTGTCTCTGAGGCTGAGAGGAGGCGGGAATGGCATCAAGATCGAGCCCTCGCTCATCGCTCTCGCGAGGAAATACAGGCAGAACAAGATGATATGCAGGAAGTGAGCATCTTCATCTAGTTTCTATTATTTGATAATTTTTTTCCATCTAGTAGTACTATTTTTATAAGATTAATACCATTTTGTTGGTTTAAATATTATGGTTTTTGTAATATTATAACTGCATGTCCTATAATATTATTGTAGGTGTTATGCTCGATTGCCTGAGAGAGCTCATAACTGTCGTAAGAAAAAATGTGGGCATAGCAATCAGGTATATATAGCTTTTTATATTCGAAACTAATTTAAATTTGTAAAAATTAAGTTCTTTTTTTTCTCTTCTCAAGTTTCCAATGGAAAAAAACCCGTCTTATATTGGTTGTTCATGATTTCTTGCAGTTGAGAAAGAAGAAGTTGCCCAAAATAGATTAAGAGGGAGAGTACCATATTTATAGATCATGAGTTGCTTTCATGTGTATTTCGTTTAATGAGTTTGTTTAATTACATGCAGAAATAAGTTCATGTGTTTTTCTTCTTGTTTTTGTGAGAAAAGTTTCTGTGAGTATCATCCTGTATTGATTTTTTTGTCAAATGTTAAAGGGTTTTTTTTTAATAAAGAATATTGTGGAGTGGGGCCTCGATCTCTTGCAAAAGATACAAGCATTCATCATTTCCTGGTTTTAACTCAATTCACCTGATGATATATGAGGGCATGTGTGATTGAATACAAGTCATCACTTTTATTTGTTATTTTCGTTGAATTCTCGGCTAGGTAATCTTATGAAACTGAATCGAACCGTCTGAAATTAATTCTGTTGGTTCAGTTTGGTATTTTTCAGTTTGGACTTGGACTACTTTTATTTTTAAAATATATATACTTTGGCTCAAAAGAAAGTTGCATAGTAATTTAATCTTTAAAATGGGGAAAAACTATTAAAGAAGCATTAATTGATTGTAAAAAACGCAAATCAATTAAAAAAAATAAAAATAAAAACAAAATATGAAGCATTTTGTGCACTAATGAAAAGAAAATGAAAAAAAGATGGCTTAGACAATTGAGATTGCGATCGGTTCAGTATGTTCAGATTAAAACTTTCCCAAATAAAAACTGAGTTTGGATAGAGTTTTTCAGGAGGTACAATACCAGCCCTTGTAACATTATGTTTGTTTATACTTTTTAGTTAGCAAGGGAAGGGGAGGGGAGAGATGAAAATTAGAAAATTCAACCACTTTCTCAACCCTCCAAAAGTGGACGGATTGGAAGGGGGAGTGGAAGAGTTTTAAGTGAAATTTTTTTAAAATTTCAATATTGCCCTATATGAGAAAACCAAAAGACATTATTTCTTATTTTATTAATGATGTGATTGGATGGAGGGTAGAGAAGGGAAGGGGAAGAGAAATTTGAGTTTAGCTTTGTTCGGGAGTTTTATTGGCAGGGTAGAGGAGGGAATGAGGGAAATTTTTACACTAAAATCTTACACCCCATATTGGGGGGTAAAAGAGGGGAAGAGAAAATTTTAAAAGTA